AAAGTTTATTTTTAAAAGTAAATTAATTTTTGAATGATTAGTTGTCAATTGTTGTTATCTTAAATAGAAAGAACACAGTATAAGGTACACAGCGAAATAGCTCATTTTGAAGTTTATATATAGTTTAAACACTAGAAGAATAAAACCTCCACTTTAGTGCAATAAAGATAATCGTGATTTCTTAAAATGAGTCACAATAAAATTACTCGGTTTTAATATTTTGATTCGTTTGAAAAATCGAAGAAAATAGAGTTATGGGAAAATCTTTAATCCATAAGAGTAAAGAAACATAAATTTAAAAAAAAAGAAATGCTAAGTAGATATAAACTCTTTAATTTTTTCGTATTATAGCGTGGTTAAATTAAATTTAGAGAATTTATCAGCAACCATTATTTAAAAAATAACCGGTTGCGATTTACCACTTAAACAAAATCATCGTCTAACGACATTGCAATGTTTAGATGCGATGAGAAAAACAATCCGAAAACTAGTTAATAGAGCTGGCTAACGAAGTAATTTTAACTAAAGCTATGGCTTTAAAATGATTTTGAAACAAAAAGAATTTGTAACTAGTAACTATGGTTATCAAAACAATCGTCTTAATACCATCTGTGGTGTTCCTCAGAGTTTAATTCTCAGACCCCTACTTTTCTTGTTCTGTATGAATAATCTGAATAAGATAATTTATATAAATTAAAGAACATATATCTAATTATATTTAATAATACTTAAAATATACTTAATACTTTAAACAAAATTTAATAAGCTAAGCTTTAAATATTATTAAAATCAAACTTTTTAAAATCAACTTTTGACTCTTTTCCTTTGCAAAAAAAAAAAAAATTCTTAGTTTGTTAACTTGCACAACTTTCTTATTGACGAAATTGAAATAAAAGAGATTCCGTTACAAGTTCTTGGGCGTTTACCTCGATGAAAATATCTCTTAGAATCAACACATTGATTATCTACAAAAATTTATTGTATCAAAAAATATTGGGATTCTATATAAAGCTTGAAACTACCTTGATAAAAATTTATTAACCCAACTTTTTTACTTTTTTTATCTGCATTTACATAAATTATGCAAACACTGCTTGGGGGAGTACTGTAAAAAGTAAGTTAAATTCTTCTTTATCGTCGCCAGAAACATGCGATCCTCATAATTAACTATGCTAATCGTTTTATGCATGAGAAACCGTTTTTTATTGAAATAAAATTATTAAATTTATTTGAAATCAATGTATTTAAAGTTTTATGTTTTGTATGTTTATGGAGAATCTATTATCTACCTACTTTATGGAGAATCTATTATCTACCTACTTTAAAAAAAACTTTTAAATTGCAACCTAAAAACAAATGCGATATAAGAAACATAAATTTTTTAAATGAACCGATTTGTCACACAAAATTTAATTGATTATGGGTTCTTTATCGTGGGTCCCACCTATGGAACAATATTGCAGAATTAATAATCTAGGAGAGAGAAGAGCACCATGAAACATGGGGCACCATAAAACAATTTAACTGTCGAGGCATCTTAAGAGTTGTGACAACCACCTTCATATGGTGAGACATTTACTACTAGTGTTACGTTTTGACAAAAAATTATACTATTTGATATCATTAGGCCTGCGAGGTGTCTTATTTTGTGTTTATTTAATGACAAAGTATTTTATTAGTTTTTAATGAACCTAAGTTTTAAGGTATGTTATTCAATGTGTCTATTGGTAAGTAACATTATTTTGTTAACTATCTGTTAACAAAATAATTTTACCATAGAGCTTATGGATTAGATAATAATGTTTTATTATTACATTATTATTAGATTATTATTAACTTATATTTAGCTTTTTACTTGTTTAAAAAAACTATTAAAAAACAAGTTTGTATTAAAAATAAAGCAATTGTTTTCTATTAGCAAGTATAGAGTAACTTACAGCATTTGTGGAGAGCCTTAAAACTGTAGAATTGTACTTCATTGTGTCATAATCTTTTCTTTTAGTGTTTACAGTCAATTTTTAAGAGATTTTTGTAAATATATAATACTAGGAGATCAAATTTTGAAACAAAATTTATTGATGCTTAAGATTGACATTTAAAGATATATATTTAATTTATTAATTGATATTATCGTGTCTCTCATATTAATTTTATAACTCTTTAATTCATTAGTTTTGTAAAGCTAATTGAAACTACATTTAAAAATAAGTGTTAAGAGAGCTTCATAAATTTGTTAAAACAATTCAACTGGCTTTCGTGGTATATATTTTAAATAGGATTTTTGTTTAAGTAATTATTGTGATTTCGCCTTAGAATGATAGTCCTTAACTGAATGATAGTCCTTCACTTTCAAACATAAATGCTCACCATCGCTGATTGTTTATAGCCACTATCAAGCATTGATATTCACATCGATATTCCAAAGAAAAAGAAATCCTATAGCAATATCACTTTCCATTTGGCTATTCAAGCTGTTAAAGATGGCGGTAAAATATTAACGGCAGCAAAAACATTTGGAGTATTGAGACTAATGCTGAAAGATAAAATAAATGGACGTCGACAAACAAGCTCTGTTGGAGAAAAAACAGTGTTTACAAAGCAACAGGAACAAGCAATAGTAAACAGGCTTTTTTACTATGCAGATCGCGGGTTTCCATTGACAACAAAGTTTTATAGGTATAATGTTTATTTAAATGGTAAAATAATACATGGGTTGCTTCAACAAGATTTGCCCACTACATAGCATAAATCATACTTAGATTACTAACTTATATAAAAAAAAATCCCTGGATATGTTTTCCAATCCAAGTAACTCGAAGAAGAAGTTCTCCATCAAACAAAAAAAGCAAGTGGCTCAAGAAAGAAAAGAAACTTTTTGCCTAATAAAATAAAATCATATGGCTTAAAGAAGAGAAAATCCCGTAGTTTAAAATCATTATTAAATTAAAAGCTACCGAGTACATCAAAATCTTATAACAGAAACAGCTAAAAAACAACTCACTGCTATATGTGCGGTGTGGCATAAGTGGATTTAAGACTGGCACCAATACGTTTCTTGTTTATATGGTCATGTGAAGCCTGTTTTTGCATTGACACGTGCACAATATGTGCTTTATTCGCCAAAATATAATAAAGCTTTAACTCTTTTTACATTGGCGAAATCACCCCATAAAAGGCGAAATCGCCCCATATAAGTACGTAATACAAATCGGTGTTCATGAGTATAAATATTTTTTTTTTTTTTGAATTTTCAAACGCGATTGAACTAAATATAAATTATTCAATTTTATTCAGTTATATGGAAATATGGTATATGGTATATGGAAAAAGCGTATGAAAATGTTTAACAGACAACATTAAAGCAGCAAAAGTGGATAAAAATCGCCCTGGTCTACCCTACATATTAATATAAACGAAGTTTAAAAAAAAAGCTCTTCTTAGCCATATGTAACTGTAAAATCTTGTGCATGAGACCATAAGCATTTAAGAAATTTAGAAAAGTGTTTCTCATGATAAAAAAATTAAAATTGTTTTAGATTAATAAGTTTAGCTTTTTATATTTAATTATATAATTTCAAAATATTTTTTTTTTTTTAGAAAAGAGTTAAAATAATTTATTTTGAATTTATTTCACTCCTATATTGCAATATAAAATGATTTTAAATTAGTTTTTAAAAAAGTTTTTTTTTATTCAATACGAATAATCTTAGTTCAAATGATTTTAAGAAAACTTGTTGTTATGTTGTTATTATTATTTGTTATTGTTGTTATTATTATTTGTTATTGTTATTATGTTGTTATTATTATTTGTTATTGTTGTTATGTTGTTATTATTATTTGTTATTGTTGTTATGTTGTTATTATTTCGTTATTTTACATAAATATTTATTAGAATATAATAAGTGTTGTAAAAATGTTAACACCCAATTACAAAACCACGATGTTATATAAAAATTATCTAAAATTAAAATTAAATAATTAACTAAGCAACATTTCCAATACTTTTCAAATCCAGTACAAGACGTGTTTTACTTTTCAAACCCAGTACAAGACGTGTTTTAAGCGTTTAAAATATTGTTATGGATTAACACGTTTTTTAAACGTTTTAAGCGTGTAACACGCCCATACTTAAAAAAGTACGAAAGCTTTTAATTAATTTTGAAAATATCTGAAATTTGTGTATGACTTCAATAATAAAGTTTTTCTGAATCAAATTTTTCGTAAAAGAACAATAAAATTTGTGCACCATAAACAAAAACAATCAAAAAGAATATCATGGTTCTTTCATGGTTCAATTATGGTTCATTTTTTTTTAGTTAGTTTTATTTCGTCAGTATGCATATATTTTGCAATGTTTTATTTAAAATCTAATAAATATAAATAATTACAAATCTGACTGGGGCAAGTAGAAGACAAAATGTTTTATCATCAAGCTCCTTAGAAGAGTTCAATTTGTTGAATCATGTTTTATAGAGAGAATATTCAAGTTTATAGATTGCTAATATATAAACTTGATTAACCACACAACATATAAATACGCTTTACATATATTATGTATTTATGTTTACAGTTACACTTGTCTTCAAGAGAATTTGTGTACACAAATTTTATCTTTGTTAACGCGTAGACTGTTGTTACCGCGTAGAATGTTATTACCCCGTAGATTGTATCTGCATTATTGGTGGGTTAATAGATCCTTTCTCAACCCTTTTATTGATGGATCCTTTCTCAACTTTTTTATTATTGGATCCTTTCTCAACCCTTTTATTGATAGATCCTTTTTCAACCCTTTTATTGATGGATCCTTTTTCAACTCTTTTATTTATGGATCCTTTCTCAACCCTTCAACTGCAACATACGAAAGTAAAAAGCAATAGAAATAAAAAGCACTAATAAATGAAGAGAAATTAAAAAAAAAAAAATTTTCGCAGTTTCCCTTCGTACACGGTATTACCAATACGTTTAAATTAAAAAGATCAAAATTATAAAAAACAAAATACCTTTTTTAGGTTTTTATTTTCACTTTTTATTTCAACTATTTCATTGTGCATTGTTTCATCATCATTCTCATCTGCATTATTTGTTAGTCTATCTCCATCATTTTCTTTTTCTGATTTTTCTGATGTTTGCTTTTTTATACTATTGTTTGAATTTTTCTTTTCCACAACCTCACCAGGTATAAATTGAACACGAACGGTTCCTGCTTTTTTAGGGTTTTCTATTTTACTTCCATTTACAATTTCAATAGTTTCTTCATCCGGTATAAATTCTACTTTGATGATGTCTGGTTTTTTTTTCGAATTTAAGTTAGAGGTTTCTCTTTTTATTGGCGTGTAATCAATTGTACCTTTATTTTTTATTTTTGCTTTTACATCGGAAGGAAAAAATTCCCTTTGTTTTGTCAATAAAGTAAATTCCATTGGATCTTTTTTTAATAAATTTTTTTGGTCGACAAGTCGAGATTCTTTTGAACTCACGGAAGTTTTAATTACCGAATCGCTATGCTTGACTGCCATTAATTGAAAGTCGTCGTCGTTGTTGTAGTTTAGTTTTGACACATTCCGAATATTCTTCAAGTTCTGGATTTTCTTTTTTTTAATGCTTGACAATTTATGACCGAAAGCAATTAATTTATTTTGGAGTGTTCCTAATACGTCGTCATTTTCAATGTTTCTTATTTCATTATCGTTTTTAGGACTTCGTATTACGCCGAAATTCTTAATAGATGTATTTGTTTTGATAATGTTTTTTGATTTCTGTGGTTCATTCTCTTTTGACTTTTTTGAAAGTGCAGGAATTTCGTTTGGCAATATCACAGTAAATTCATTATTGTTTTTATTAGTGGGAATTTTGTATAAAAAAGGTTTTTCCAAATTCTCCTTAGATTCATCTATTGTTTTTGAAATACTTTTATTAGTTTTTTGCAAGTTATCAGTGTCAAAAGAAACTTCTTCAACCTTAACTTCAGGTTTTTTAGGTTTTTCTTTAGAAAATTTTGTTTGTGACTGGATATCGTTTTCCATAGTTTCATTATTTTCAAAGCCAATTTCTAAAGTAAGAGCATCTTCCTTTATTCCTCTAACTAAACCAGGTTCATTTTCTTCAGCTTGAGCTTCCAGGCTAATTTTTTTATTTGATTTGTGTGGTACAATTATTTTAGCATTCCCAAGTTCGACTATTGTGTCAAAATCTTGTCTTTGCTTGTTTGCATCTATACAGAAATGAGATAAAGGAAAAATTAAAAATAGGTTATGGTGTGGCCTTTTTCTAACATGGTACGACAAGTATATTTAAAAAAACGTTTCTGATATTGTTTTTATATATTCCTTTATTCGTCAACATATAAAAAAATAATTTAGTAATTAAACAATTATTAAACTCATAATAAAGGTAAAACTCTCTAGTTCGTCTCCAGGTCGTTTGGAGTAAAAAGTAGTTAAACTAAGCAATTAAACTAAACTTTTTTTGGTCTATTTTAGGAGTAACAAAATTTAAACAGTTTGTTTCTAAGTTTCTAATTTTTTAGGCTTTTGTGGAATTAGGATTTATGTGCTAAAAAGATTTTTCTTTTTCTTTTATAAGTTGTAATTTCTTAAATAATTTGAAACATTATTGTTTGAATATGTTTAAGTGGTTTGTACTATGTACTCCACCTATATAAAGGTATAACCCATTTTAAATAAGACCTATAATCAATAGATTAATAACCAAATAGACCTATTATCAAATGGTCATATCTGTGTTCTATTGAGCTAAATTACATTAGTTTATCTATTCTTTTTACTTTAAAATACAGAAATCCAAAACTACCAACTATGACATGCATTTTACGACAATATCTTACGACATGCATCTTACGACAATATCAGATAATAAATTTTGAAATAAGTTGAAATCAAACTCTCTGAAAAGAATGTTAGAACTTGGTGGGTCAACAAAATTAATGTTAGAACTTGGCGGGTTACAAAAACAAAATTCTGAGAAAAAAAAATAGAGGATTGGAATAAATAGTGTTTTTTATTTGTTTGAAACTTTTAAACTTTTCCTTATTATTTATTTTAAATTAATAAATATTTTTATTTAATGTTAAATTCTTACCGTCTTGCTTTGGATCTTTATTTCTTCTGAGCAAATTTGAAGTAATTGGAAGAACTTTTTGTCCGTCAGGCAGTTCAACTCCAACGCTTAAATGATCAACATCTTTGCTGTTTTTACCAATTGCTTCTAAATAGTATCTTTTGCCTTTTTCAAGGGCAACTATGCGTGACTTTTGATCGGGAAAGCTGTAATACAAATCTATAATTGTTTTAATTCATTAAAAGCTTTCCAGGGAAAATTTTTTTTCCTAAATTCTAAAAACATGAGTCCGTTTTCTAAATGGCTATTTTAAAAAGGGATATGATCTTCATCAATTTTTTTCGGAAAAAAAAAATGGAAGGAGACAGTTGAAATATTGAGAACAACTTAAAAGTTAAACTTTTTAATTTTATTGTTTTAACTTGCTTTATATAGATTTTTGAGCGATATGTAGTTTTTATTACATATCTACATAGTTATATCTTTGTGATAAATATAACTATGTAGGTAGATAACTACATATTTATATACTTATCATAAGGCAAACTACAAAATAACAAAAACTCTGCAGCTAGTCGATTGTTATATATTTAAGATTTGTAGCTAGCGGTATTATTAAGACATATCCGTAGCTAGAGATCGTAAGTATATATCTAATTGCAACATAACGACAAATCTAAAGATAATCGATGGCTACATGTCGTAGCTTTGTAGTTTGCTAAAGCATATCTATAAATTGATAGGTAGGTAGTCGATATCTATAATTGATATAAATAAATTGATAGGTAGGTAGCATATCTATAAATTGATAGGTAGGTAGTCGATATCGTTAGCTAAAGAGATATGGCGTGTACACACACCACAGCCTTTTAGATAGCAATAACAATAATGTAAAAGATGTATTTGAAATAAATATATATCATTGTTGATAACTATAATGTAACGAATAATCTGTCCAATAGCTTCATATTGTAGCTTTGTAGGTATCAGTGTTTTTTTAGATAAAACTTCTAAAATACTTAAAACTAAAAAAGAAAAAAGTAAAAAAAATTTGGTTGGTATACAGTTGCCGAAATTCAAATAGCGTCTTAATTAAAACACTTGAAGTTATTTTCGAAACATAGTCTCTTATAGCTATGTTTTGCATTTTTTTAACAAATTATTTTCTATATTTTGAGAGATTTCTAGAGTTATCCCTCAAAATATCAATGTGCGTCATCACGTAAATATCAACGTGCGTCATCACGTAAATATCAATGTGCGCCATCACGTAAACTATACTGCTGTATGTTACACTGTTTTTCGTGTATATTACGATGGGATTTAAAATGCAAGTAATAACATGAAACTTCAGTTTCTGCATGCTATTGCTGTTATATAAATGAATAACAATAAAGTTTTTCTTACTTAATCAAGGATAAAATCAAAACGTTGAAGACATAGTTCGTAATTTAAAAATAAATAGTTACAACTACATAATCTCAAAAATTGATTTTTAATTAATAAAATAAAAGAACATCAAATTAGTAAAAATGTATGATTGTATGTATGTATGTATGTATGTATGTATGTATGTATGTATGTATGTATGTATGTATGTATGTATGTATGTATGTATGTATGTATGTATGTATGTATGTATGTATGTATGTATGTATGTATGTATGTATGTATGTATGTATGTATGTATGTATGTATGTATGTATGTATGTATGTATGTATCTCTAAACAGTATCTCTAAACAGAGGCGATTCTAAAAAAAAATTAAAAAGTAGCGATTCTAAAAATAAAATTAAAAAGTAACACAAAAAAAAAGTTCCTAACTTAACTAGTAACTTACATTTGAAAATAACGTTTAAATACGAAAAGAAACAACAACAACAAATTAATTAGTGAGTCACAAAATGTTAAATAAAATTTTTTAAATATTTAAAATATTTAAATGATAATTTTAAAAATATTTGAAATATTTTGTTTTTATCTTTTGCAAATATTTGAATGATTATGTTTTTCAAATATTTGAATGTGGAAAAAAAAAATAAAATCGTTCATATATTTTTAGTGAATGTTAATTGAAAGTAATTTTGAGTTAACTTTTTAGGTATATGAACTACAATTATTTATAGAAGCAATAACTTTAGGAACATAATAGCTTAGTATAAAATGTTTAAGAACTTAATAAATTTATATAAAATGTTTTTATTAATTTGAATTTGAAAAAAAGTTTTATAAAACAAGGTTGCTTTCGATAGTGCAAAAAATTGGGTTTCTTTTTTTTCTTCACATTTTTGCTGAATAATACAAAGCTATATTAATTAAACAAAAACTGTGTAATTTATATATTTATTAAATTTTGAAATAATTAACGACAGTATGTTACCTGAAAAACTCGTTGTGGTGAGAAGGCCTGTGTTGTTTAATGATTCTATTACTTTCTCCTTCCATGTCGTTGAAACCAAGAAACACCTCACAAGAACCACTGCAACTACTGTAAAACCTATAACCACCATTTGTTGGCGCGAGAAAGTAACCTGTGACGTAAATAACAAACAGATAAGCCAAAATACATAAAACGATAAAAAAAAAAAGCATACTATAGCATGTTAATTAAAACTAGAAAATTTATTTGTCGGACAATTTTTAGGAGACTTGAATATTTCAACCTTTTATTCTTTGTCCAATGTCTTCTGAAGTTGAATCAATTGGTGCATCAAAATCTTGTAGGAGCGTTACGTTAGTTGGTTGATGAGGAAATCTTGAATCTGCGATTAAATTTTGAAGGGAGGTTCCATGGACATGTGACCATAATTCTCGGACCACACCTACATTAATAAACTTCAACATATATTTGTCACTTTAATAATTTAAAGATCAACAGAATTTTATAATTTGTAAGAGGTTTTAAAACGTTGCTAAATTTCTAAAACATTGCAATATCCGTTTGCACAAATGATGTTGAAGTTTAGTTTTGGAATGTACTTTTTTTTTTTTTTTCATATAGTAACTCACCAATACCATCACGTTCGCTTTTTCCTTTAGACAACCATAACAAAGTTATAAATACTATTCGACTCATGTTTTCATAAAAATCTGTTTTTTGTCTTTAGCCATGTTATAAAAGGTATCCCAATTTGGTTTAGGTTTACATACAATTTTTTATGTGGATTTATTAAAAATGTTGCATTCTCAGCAGCTCACTTTGGTATGCAAAATGAAATGAATTCAACCAAGTGTGAAATCAAACGCATATTTTAAAAAAAGTGACATCTCAAACCATTTCTACAAATCTTGAAAAAAAACCATATTTTAATCATAATATGTTTTTGGAGTTGAATACTTTTGCTTTCCAAGCTTTTGGTTTTCGAATGTTTATTTCTATAAACCACTAAAATTAGTATGGATTAAATCTTTGTTATCGATAACAAAATTAGAAGCAATAAGCTCTTGAGTTAAAAATAAAACTTAGAAATGTAAAAAATATATGATTAAGTTTGTACTAGCTTATGGAATAAATAATCTTTTTTTGTTGTTATTGATTATTTTATTAGTATTTTTTTTTAACTGAATGCTAAAAAATGTTTGTCACGTGTTTTTTTTTATTTTGTCTTATAGTTAATTACGTTTTTTTATTTTTATTTTTTTTTTAATTTTGTTGATAAAAAATAAACGTTAATAAGTAATATGTGCTTTCAAATATTTTTTCTAATTATTATTATTTTTTTAATTAAATATAAAGTTAAAGTTTTAAAGACAAACTTTGTTTTCATAACCACCCAGCGGGCATTTTGACGTCCTAAGAACGTCCGTAAGACGTTTTAAGTCTCGTCCGTAAGACATCCTTACATCCGACATCCGTAAGACATCCTTGGTCTCAAATGAAAGGCTTGAGGACGTCTATTCCAGATGTCCTAAAGACGTCTTTTTAAGTCGTCCTAGAGACGTTTTTTGACGTTCTAGAGACATCTCTGGCTGGTCTAATTTTAAATACTTAAGGACGTCTTTTTCAGACGTCCATAAGACGTTTAAATTTTACCAAGACATTCTTTTAAAAAATATATAAAAATGCAATGATTTACAACACAAACCTTAGATTTGCCTTAATCTAGGCAAGGGAAGTTATAAAAAGAAATCAATGTAAATAAAGTGTAATTTGATATATTTAAAATAAATTAATAACTTTACAAAAAATAAGAATAATTTTTCAAACAAAGTTACATTTTCAAATTAAAAACTAATAGGTACAGTAGAATATAATCGATAGTGCATTATAAATAGAAGAAAATTGCTTAAAAATGGAAAAAAATAAATAAAATACAACAGTTAAGCCATCATTGATCGAAATCCATATTAGTGGATGTTCTCTTTATTCGGTCAGAAGAATGCCTAATTACTTTTCCAATAAGTTGGATGGTATCCATTTTGATTAAGTTTTTATTTGACTTTAAAGCAGCTTCTAATAAAAACAACAAAACATGTTTCAAAAAGATCATTAAAAAAAAAATGTCATGTATACATACACTTGAATACATGTCATGTTCCATAGCCAAAGAAATTAAATTTTTTAGCTTACTAATGTGTTTGATTAATTAAAAATTAAAAAACATCATTTTTAATTTTTAATTAATCAAACACATTATTAAGCTAATAAGAATACCAGTGACAGCGTAACATAGACTTGTCAACTCTTTAAACTTTTTTTTCTTCTTTAGACAATTCATGCTATATTCTGACAAAATAGTGTCTGTTGGCGGTCTACATAATAAAAAAGAAGATAAATGCTGTACTGTCAATCATAAATGTTAAAATTCAAACTTTTGCTAATTACTTACAAGAGCAAAATATTTTTAATTGTATCAGCTAGATTTTTACTCCCAATTAATGATAACTGTTTTACCTAAAAAGAAACAATGTATTAGAAACATTGAAAATGTTTATAACAATTTAAAATAAATATTGTAATAATATGTAACATATAAAATATAAAGTTGAAACTCATGTATACAAAAGTGATGTATTGGATATCTCCATTTGCGAAATTTTTTTTCAAAACATTAAATTTATCTGAACTTTTACGTTGTTTAAAACCTTCTTCTGGATTATTAGAGAACAGTGCAGTTCTATCTACTAAAATTTTTTTCATTTCAGCAAGTTGGAATACAGTTTTTTTCTAAAACTCTGAAAAGTAAAATATATAAGTGAAGCCATATAAATAGTATATAAAATAAATATTACTTCCTATATATGGTTGAAAAGAGGTAGATTTAAACTGAATAATGCAAAAAATCTCAAGTTTCATGCTTAACCTTAAAAAAATATAGAAACAAGTAAAGTTCAAGAAAATTATAGGGTTTTTGTCTAACGCCAAAAACTGTAAATAATTGCTTCCTATACACAAACGCACACACACACACTCATATATATATTAATATATATATATATATATATATATATATATATATATATATATATATATATATATATATATATATATTATATACATATAAATATATATATATATATATATATATATATATATCATATATATATATATATATATATATATATATATATATATATATATATATATATATATATATAATATATACATATATATATATATATATATATATATATATATAGTATATATATATATATATATTATATATATATATATATATATATATATATATATATATATATATATATATATATATATATATATATATATATATATATATATATATATATATATATATATATATATATATATATATATATATATATATATATATATATATATATATATATATATATAAATTAGGGTGTCCCAATAAACAACATTTTTGAAAATAATCTGCTCTCACCCCCCTAAATGTGTTCTATCTAATGCAAAAACACTAGGTTTAAGTTTTTTTTGAATAAAAAATATTTTAAGGGGTCCCTCAAGACCCTCGAATATTTAATGGGTCCCTAATATTTTCGAAAAAAAAGTTTTTCAAAAATATGTCAACCTGGTACTCAAATGAAGCGAAATTATATAAAAATTTTTAAAATAATATTCATTTAGAAACAAAATTGTTATTTTTGGTTTTATTACATAAAAAATTGCGTTTTTTAAGAAAAAATGAAAAAAATGTATTTCTAATGTTTTTTTATGATAATTTTGATAAGTTAAAAATATTTCGAAATGAATATTATTTTTGAAATATTTATATAATTCCGCTTCATTTGAGTACCAGGTTAACATATTTTTGAAAAACTTTTTTTCAAAAATATTGGGGACCCATTAAATATTTGAGGGTCTTGAGGGACCCCTTAAAAGATTTTTTATTCAAAAAAAATTTAAACCTAGTGTTTTTGCATTAGATAGAACACATTTAGGGGGTGAGAGCAGATTATTTTCAAAAATGTTGTTTTTTGGGACACCCTAATATATATATATATATATATATATATATATATATATATATATATATATATATATATATATATATATATATATATATATATATACATATACATGCATACATACATATATATACATATATAAATATATATATATATATATAAATATATATATATATATATATATCTAAATATGTATATATATCTATATACATATAATATATATTATATATATATATATATATATATATTGTATATATATATATATATTATAAATATATAATATATATATATATATTTTTTTATATATATATATATATATAACATAATTTAAACATATATATATATATATATATATATATATATATATATATATATATATATATATATATATATATATATATATTGGAGAATACACAAAATAATTTATACATATATATATATATATATATATATATAATATATATATATATATATATATATATATATATATATACCTTAAATAATAATTTAAATGCAGAAATACATCTTTGTAAAAGAACTTAAAGTTTTATGCCTTTTTTGGGAATAATCAGTCATAATATTAAAAAATATAAAAGCATTATAAAAAATACAAATTTAGCGTTGCAACAGCATCTAACATCAAATATCCGATACTCAGCGGAATCAAAGCAATAGTAAAATAATTTTTTTTTCCCTTTTAGAGATGTATTTCGAATAGTATACAACATTTATCAATACACACACATGCACAAACTTACACACACACACACACACACACACACACACACACACACACACACACACACACACACACACACACACATATATATATCCATTTATATATATATATATATATATATATATATATATATATATATATATATATATATTTTTTTTTTTTTTTTTTTTTTTTTTTTTTGAATGTAGACATCATGTACGAGAGTATGTAAATTATTATTTTATAAACATCAATAAATACGATTTTCTCTCAATACTAAATTTATTTTTGATTTTTTATTTTTTAAAAGAAATTTTCGCTGGATTGTTGTGACCAGCGTCTTCAGCTTAAAAGATTTTGTTTGTTTTTGTTTATATGCTATTTTTAAATATATAAAACTAAAGTTTTCGGGCTTAGCAGGTTTTAAGCTCTTTTGGAATCAAATCTTTTGTACCAAGTTTCAGAATTGCAGCATTACTAAAAGCACCATATAAGGGTATTAATAAACAGAAACATTTTTGGCACTTTCAAGAAATAAATTCAAGAAATGAATCCAAACTACAAAGGAACAGCCACCCAGGAGTTTACCTTATTAAGTGCCATTGTAACAAAAAGTATATTGGTGAAACAAAAATGCAAATAAAAACACGCATGCAACAACACAAAAACAGTACAATAGGAAATAAAACAGAAAGATCAGCATTAGCCACACACATGAAACATTGTGCACAACAAATTAACTGGGACAGTTGCAGAACTCTAAAAGTCAATAACAAAAAGTTTGATAAAAAATTTTGATAGGAAAGTTCGTGAGGTGCTTGAAATACAGTACCACCAATGTGCCCCTCAACAAAGTGGTATCAATTTAGATGAGGGACAATATGTGTCAACAAAATTCTGGGCACCATTTCTAATGCACTTACGTCAGAAAAAGACGAAACCATTCCATTGACATATAATGAAATTGCCATTTAAAAATAACATATAAACTAAAACAAACAAAATCTTTTAAGCTGAAGACGCTGGTCACAACAATCCAGCGAAAATTTCTTTTAAAAAATAAAAAATAAATTTAGTATTGAGAG